TTTTTTTTACATGAATATGCTATCTTAAACAAATGTAAACAAATGCTGTAATGTTTATTTTTTTTAATAATAGCAAGTATTTATCTCATTAGTTGTGTTCTATACATATTCATAAGCATTAACGGGAACCTATTATGCAAAAATCCCTTTAATAAAGGGTTTAAACCCAGTTGTGTGGCAGCAGTGTGTGACCATAGCCCGTTTCTAATGGTAAAAATGTATTAATTCTGTTGTTTATAATCAGACTTGATAAAAACACACTGCAGAAACACTTTGATTGACATTCTCTATTTGTACGTGTCATCAGAGGAGGAAAGCCCCGCCCACTAGTGGCCATCCATCCCTCATTGGCATAGAACATTAGTCTTGTTTTTGAATCTGCTACTATGCTGACATATAGGCATTTGTAGCTCCGCCCTCTTTTGAAAAAGAGCTCAATCTCATTTGAATTTAAAGCGGCAGTCACTAAAACGCCACAATTAGGATCGAACCCTAAAAGGGTCAGTTTCAAAGAGGTATAAAACATTATTAGTGTAGTATTTTGAGCTGAAATTACAAACTACACTCTCAGAAATAAAGGTATACGAGCTGTCACTGGGGTGGTACCTTTTCAAAAGGTACAAATTTGTACATAAAAGGTCCATTTTAACATCTCAAGGGTACATATTAGTACCTAAAAACTACAAAAGTGTTCCTCTTAAATTTATAAGTACTAATATATACTTTTGAGGTACCAATATTGACCATTTAAGTTTACATTTGTACCTATTGAAAAGGTACCGTCCCAGTGACAGCTCACATACCTTTATTTCTGAGAGTCATCAGAGACTTATTTTACACCTTGAACAAAGAGCCATAAGGTCCTCCTTAAGACACTGTCAATATATGTTAATAATAAACATGTATATATAGTGGACAGCCGTGATTATGTGTGTTGCTCTGGCTCATTTGCTCTGCGTTTGGCATTTCTGACCGTACAGATCATATTCCCTGTACTGGATGTAATGTTTCAGTCTCTCCGGCAGTGGAAGAAAACTCATGAAAATGGGAGCTCTTAAACGCAGTCGACCCAAACAAGCCCTGATCTTCAGCCGACAGAGATGCTGCAGACATCGCACATTCTCTGTGGAGACAAATGGGTAACACTGTAGTTTAGGTCACAATTAATGGTATTAACAAACCATCAACTAACACTACTAGCCTTATCTTTTATGGCATGGCGTTGACTCCAATCTTTTGGCCGACAAAACAACCCTTTACATATCTTAATGTAAAATATCACCAAAATAGTCTAATAATAAGTTGGTGATTGATGAAATTTAGGGTGGGTGTGGGTTTGACCTTTATTCTTGGGGCAAAAGAGCCATTCTTGAGACCATAGCCTGGTTGAGCAGAATTTAAGATGGATTTCACTTTTTAACGTATTTAAATTGAAATATCTTTATATTAAAAACATGTGTGATGTGCATGGATATGTGAAGAAGCATGTTTGATTGAGAAAAGACACGTTTTGTTATTATTTACATACACTACCTGACAAAACACTTATCGTCTGTTCAAGTTTTAGGAACAAGAAATAATAACTTGACTTCTAGTTGATCATTTGGTATTAGAAGTGTCTTATAAGAAAGGCAAAGGCCTCTAGATGACGCTTATTTTACCCAAATAAAACATGATCATGCCTTGATTTTGAATGATTTCATTAGGACAGTAAGGTCTGACTCTGCTTAGACTAAAGTGTCATCACTGAACAGAAATAATGTCCAGTATAGAATATAAAGTCCTGCTGCAGTGGAGACAGAATGAATATTCTTACCCCAGACATGCTCAATAATGTTCATGTCTGGTGACTGGGCTGGCCAATCCTGGAGCACCTTGACCTTCTTTGCTTTTAGCTTTGATGTGGAGGCTGAAGTATGAGAAGGAGCGCTATCCTGCTGGAGAATTGTCCCTCTCCTGTGGTTTGTAATGTGATGGGCAGCACAGATGCTTGATACCTCAGGCTGTTGATGTTGCAGATCTCTCGCACGCCCTCAAACTGAATATAACCCCAAACCATGATTTTTCCTTCACCAAACTTGACTGATTTCTATGTCAATCTTGGGTCCATGCAGGTTCAAGGAGGTTTTCTGCAGTATTTGTGATGATTGGGATGCAGATCAACAGATGATCCATCAGAAAAATCCACTTTCTGCCACTTTTCCAAATGATCAACTAGAAGTCAAGTTATTATTGTTGCTGGGATCCGCGACAAGACTTTTGTCAGGTACTAAATGAGTACTAAAATAGCAGTCTTTTTATTTGTTGCCCTCAGGGCAACATTGTGCAGCTAGAAGACAGAGCAGTTAAGCTCATTCCTTTCAACAGCGAGCTACATTAGCTTTGCTTCCATTCAAAGATGCGAAATAAACTTGCAAAAAGCCACAATTTAAAAAAGTATATAAATCCTAAACCTTTATGATGCAAGTTGTTAATTGTTATTTTTAAATTGTTAGTTAAAAAATATTATAATCAGTAACTATAAAATTATGTATAATAATAATAATATAAAAGTATAATATATAAACAATTTTTTATACAAACCAAGTATTATATATATATATATGTTTTTACAACAGTTCTGTCTGGTTCTCAAATCTAATTGGCTGATAGGTGTGATATATTAAAGTAATATCAGCACCCGTACAGCCTCTTTACCCTTTGTGTATTACTCCGCCCACATACAGCCAGCAAAAAGCAGACACTACAGATCTAAAGTTTAAAAGATGCTCGCTCAGCTGTTTAACTGTCAGCTTATGATTTGAATCCAACGCGGAAGAAAGTAGTTCCTCATACAAAAGGGTTTTTGAGACTCTCCATGTTTGATTTTGTTTTTATATCCACAATTATGGCATCAAACTGTTGTATAAACGCAATATCACACTCGTGGCAGTGCGATATGGCTGTATATCGGCACTTGTCCATCTCAACATGTCCATCTCATTATTTCAAAGTGGTATACTGTATATACATCCCAGTGTGTTTGTCCAAACCTTGAAAGTGGCAGATCTCAGCCCACTGTCTTTGCTCCATGAGCACAGCCTTCAATTTGGAGCAGAATTTCACATGATCCACGTAATCCATCATGATGCGCACGACACTCCCCGAGAGATGCTTCAAAAAGGAGACCGAAATCACCTCACAAAACTACAAACACAGAAGAAGAAGACAAAGAAGAAGAAGAGCTTTCAAAACCAATGCAAATCAATCAATCCAACTATTTTACTGATGCATCAGTCTGAATGTTTTTTTTAGAGGCCAATTCAGATTTTCTCACGATTTTTTTATTTGATTTTCTTTAAAGCAGGGATCTCAAACTGGATTCCTGGAGGGCCGCAGCTCTGCAGTTTTGCTCCAACCATTATTAAACACAGCTGATCCAACTAATCAAGGCGTTCAAGACTACTAGAGACTATTAGGCAGCTGTGAGTGGAAGGTGGTTGATGCTAAATCTACAGAGCAGCGGCCCTCCAGGAATTGAGTTTGAGACCACCGCTTTAAAGACACATTCATTCTTTTTTTGAAAATAGACTCATTTTACAACTCCTCTAGAGTTAAACAGTTGATTTTTACCATTTTTTACCCCAATACCCTTATCCGCTATTCCCTACATTAGTCCACTAATATTGTCCACTAGAAGGAGTGAGTGAAACTCTATGTTGTTTGTGTTTTGCTGTTTGATAAATCCCTCTTCAACTTCCTGTTCAGTCCCTGTTGTAATTGATTTATTATTAGTTGTGTAGTTATTTAGCAAGTTGTTTATCAGTAATGAAACAAAGACTTTTGATTTCTGTCATTGTTACGTCCCAGGACGTATTTGTTTCTGTTTTGTATTTTCTTTCTCTCTTTCTCTGCTACACCCTAATAGGTGATGATGAACGCCACCTGCTGCCACTAATGACCCATTCAGTGATTGGAGGACGAGTAAAGTCGTGCTCATTTAAGCAGCTTGTCTCCAATGGAACAGTTGTGTTTTTGTGTGTGTGTGTGTGGAGGCTCTTTTTGAAACTTTAAAGATATGCTTTGTTTAATCCTTTAAGCATTATTTGTTGATTAGGAGCTTTAATTTGTTTAAGTTCTGTTGATTCTGTTGACCACCTCATACAGCCTTTGTTTCAACCTCTTTTTGATTGTAAGTTTATGTTTTCAATTCTAATTTGTTAAACACTCTTTGTTAATCAGGGATTGGGTTAGCAGAGAGGAAGTGCCATTTTCTTTTTTGTAATGGTTTTCTCCTGTTTATGTTAGTAAGGGAGTGAGAATTTTTGATGTATTTTTCTTTTCTTTTTATAGATTATTTAGTTTTTCCCTTTCGCTCAGTTAGAGAATTTTTGTTTATTGCTTTGGCTTGAACCCCCTCTTGAAGTTTTTTTGGAACCCTCCCTTAATCCTTTAATAAATATTTTGTTAATCTTCATTCAGGTTTTTCTTTTGTTTCGTCCTTTGAGAAGTGTCTCATAGGACCTCAATGCTGACACACACACACAAAACTCCATTAACATTCTGTTGCGTACCCGTGTCCCCCTAGACAGAGTTGAAGGGAACGTAACAGTCATGTAAACAAATACTACTTTAGTTGAACAATATTTTATTTTGAAACAATTTACACTACTCGGATAGCACTTTAGATGGCATTTTGCGGGCAGACGTATAGAAATTCATTCTGTGGGCAAACTCTAACTTTACATAAGCCAGGGGGTTCTCTAACTGTTGAGTGTACAGGGGTTGTAGACTCATTATTGCTGTGCATTGTGGGATAGATTCAAAGCAAAGCCGGCTCAAGGCATAAGCGAACTAAGCGGCTGCTTAGGGCCTCGTGGCCACCAGGGGGCCCCAAAGAGTGCATGAAATGACTGAGTGACTTTCGTTTTTGTTTTTTTGTTTTGTTTTGTTGTGGATTAGGGGTGAGACAAATATATGCCCATTTATCGTTATTTCCGACCGCTGTACATACTCTGGCGCCAAGACATTTATCTAAATTTATCTAAAGAGACATTTATCAAGATATTTATCTAAAGAGACATTTATCAAGACATTTATCTAAATTTATCTAAAGAGACATTTATCAAGATATTTATCTAAAGAGACATTTATCAAGACATTTATCTAAATTTATCTGAAGAGACATTTATCAAGACATTTATCTAAAGAGATCTGAAAATGCTTCTTGGTTTAATTTGAATTTCATTTAAATAGATGTTTTAAGTTATTTGAACTGCAAAATACAATACAATTTTTTTTCAGGGTTAACATTTATATCCATTTAAAAAAAATATCTTTATTGTCACCATGTTTGACTGTTTGGCAGCGTCTTGTGACTAAATAATAATAAGTATGCTATTGGCTACTTCCAGCTGTTGTTGTTTCTGTCAGCTCAGATTAATATTTTGTGTCTAACTATTTAGATTTGTGGCAAGCAGTCATAAAAAGTGGGATCAATAAGAAGTTGTTTCTGCAGAATAATATTTAGAATTGTCTTAAAACATTTTATAATGTAAGCAACACATCTACAGCGAATAAAATCGATAATGTGTGTTTTAAATTTATAGTGCGCGAATAATCAAGGATTAACGATAATTTGTCATATTGTTTGCACCAAGGGGGCCCAAATAAAATCCTGCTTAGGGCCCCCTGAAGGCTTGGGGCGGCCCTGATTCAAAGCACTTCATAACGTCCACTATAGTATTGGACACCACTAGAAGTAGCTGGTTACTCAAATAGTGCACTATTTAAAGACATAGTGCACTATTAAAAATGTTAAGGTCAATATTATTAGCCCCCTTAAGCATTATTAACTTTGGATTGCCTCCAGAACAAACCACTGTTATACAATGACTTGCCAAATTAGCCTAACCTTACCCTAATTAACCTGGTGAAGCCTTTTAATGTCACTTTAAGCTGAATACTAGTGTCTTGAAGAACATCTAGTCCAATATAATGTGCTGTCATCAAGGCAAAGATGAAAGAAATCAGTTATTAGAAATGTATTTCTCTCCGTTTCCTTCAGAAATTGAGGAAAAAATATAAAAATCATTGAAATTTTATAGGAGGGCTAATAATTCTGATGTAAATCCTCTGAATCTGTGGATTCGGTGTGGGTCTACACATTACACCCAACATGGATCTCAACAAACAATCAAGCTCTGTTCCAAAAATCACCAGAGTGTCTTTGATGACGGTATCAGTCCAGCCCTCATATCCGCATGGCACATGCGACCCTTCTCCATACGGACAGTCGAAGCATCGCTCCACATCATAGCCAAAATTACACAGCATCCGCAGCACCAGCTCATCCTTCAGCGCGTACTGCAGCGCCGAGGGGAAGTGTGTGGTGTTCACCCGGCAGAAATAATTTACATTGGCACCGTATCGCAGCAGTAGCTGAATCAGCTCGTGGTTACCCAGACGCAGCGCCACCTGCAGGAGGGAGGGGAGATATGGAGTTAAACATATAGTCATATAGGCTGCTTAAAAAGATGGGTCTTAAAGGGTCACGAAACACCAAAACACACTTTTTTGAGCTGTTGACAGTGGTATATGTGTCCCACACTGCTAAAAACACTATTAGGACACCTATATCTCACTAAAAAGTGTAAATTGGTTGTTTTTGCGTTATTTCAAGCAAATTCGTACTTCCGGTTTGAAACGAATTTTTGAAGCTGCGTCACGGTCATGACATAATAGCGTGTATTCCAGCGTGCAGACTGGGCGTCTGTGCCAGAGTGAGTCTTATTACATCTTACAGTGTGATGCATTAATGCATGAGTAAAGCTTGGTTCAAACCAATCAGCGCGCTCTGTTGTGCAACTTCATTAATATTCATTACTGTCACAGTGTTTAGACGACAGAGACGCCACGTTGTGTTGGCAAAACAAGCGTGAAGTGTTGCTTTTATAGTTTGCTGCCGTTAAGTTTTGTTTTCATTTTCTCTATGTGAGAGCTCAGCTGGATCACGTGTGGATTAACAGTGTACGCGACGCTCGACAACAATAACTTACGTGTCTAAGGAGGAACATTGTTTACCTGAGAGCTGTTCTCATCTGCAAACGCTGAGATCCGGATTCGCTTGTAGTCTTCTCTTCATAAAGACGCGGCTCTAGTTGCTGGTGATTGTCCTGTCTCTACAGATTTGGTAAGTGAGCGACCAGTGCTCTTTGTTTATTCAGTTTGTTCGTATCGAACTAACTATTGCACCGAGTGTAAACATGTTAGCACTACAATCAAACTTTAACCTCTTTTCACCGGATTTTGTGACCGGAATAACACACGCGGCTTTCTGACGCTACCTGCCGAGTGCATCTAAGTTTCCGGGAAATGCTGAGTTTTTTTTTTTCTCATTCGCCGTGCGGTATCAAACATTGCATGAAAATACACGCTTAGAGCAGATCCCCGAATCAAATATCTTGTTTGTCGCGAGGGGCATGAATGAATTCCATCAATGAAAGAGCCAAACTGCAGTTAAAGTCCAACATTTAATAATTTGGCAAATAATTCGACTACAGATGTCCATGTAAACACAGTCACTTTGTCCCCTGTGTTTGTGTATTTTGACTCTGAAACTCAGCGCGCCCAAATAGACACTCCCACACCATACCTCTTTTCTTCCTCCGACACTTCCCCCTAAACAGAGCTGGACACGCCCACTTTTCTGACTTTTTCCAAAGTAGAAGTGTGAAAACACCCTGCTGAAACGAGGGGGTTTCGCGGCCCTTTAAGTCGGAATTTAAAAGTGTGATGACTATCACCGTTCCTTAAATCCAAGGGAAGCGAGTTCAACAACCGCAAATCAACCGATATGTCACGCTTTAAAATCTCTGTGATCTGGATCCTATTTTAACGCCAAGATTAAGGGTTCAGCAAAATATTTAAAAACAAAAACACCCCATATCGGCCTAGATATCGTCACTCCCTAACCTGCAGACATTTGACCGGGTCCTGGTTGGGCATGGCTCCGGCCTCTAGAAGGACTCTTGCAGAGGAGACATCATCGTTTGAAACGGCGAAATACAGTGCCGACTGACGCTTATCATCGTAGCTGCGCCGGACCCATGGGTGGAGCATGAAATTTGGGTCGTATCCGGCATTGAGGAGCATCTCCAGACAGTGTGTGTGTCCACCGGCGGCGGCTGAATGAAGAGGACTGATGCCGCTGTCGTCCACTGCATCCCACGATGTGACGGGGATCAGGAGAGCGAGGGCCCTGTGGAGATCAGGTATGCATTAATAAAATAAGAAAAGCAGCATGAAGTTACAAGAGAACATTCCCACATGGGCATAAGATACTGATGGTATAATAACCTTTTTCGGCACATCTAAACATCATAATTTTATTAACTTATTTCTAATAACTGATTTATTTCCTCTTTGCCATAATGACAGCACATAATATTTGACTATATATACTTCAAGACACAAGTATTCAGCTTAAAGTGACATTTAAAGGCTTAACTGGGTTAATTAGGTTAAAGTTAGGGTAATTAGGCAAGTCATTGTTTTTTTCTGAGACAATCCAAAACAATTACAGCTTAAAGGGGCTAATAATATTGTCCTCAAAAAGGTTTTAAAAAATTAGAAACTGCTTTTATTCTAGACGAAATGAAACAAATAAGACTTTCTCCAGAAGAAAAAAATATTATAGGAAATACTGTGAAAATTCAGTGCTCTGTAAACATAATTTGGGAAATATTTGGAAAAGGTTTTCATAATTTTGACTTCAGATGTATGTGTGTCACTGACTTGAGGTGTCCGCGGTGAGCTACTCTGTGGATGGGCAGGTGTCCCGTGTGTTTGGGGACGTTTGCGTCTGCGCCGGACTTCAGCAGTAATGAAATCACGTCAGGGTTTCCTGAAATGCAAGCCTCAAACAAGATGGTTGCGCAATCCTGAGCCTGAGACTCCACATCAGCACCTGAGCACAAACACACTGTATTAAAGACACTCAATGCCTGATAGAAGAGTGCAGAAAAATACTTTTATAGTTGCTTTTTGGAGGATAGTGAAGTTGAGTTAATTTTTTACTTTGTGAAGTAGCTTTTTGATTCATATTTTAGGCAGTAAATGTGCTATAGGTGCTATAGTAAATGTGTATTTTTTAATTATTTTTAATAATTAAATCCTTTTTGTAAATTTTAAGTTCTTCCATCACTGTAAAAATGCAGGGTTCAACACAATTAATTCATGTTGTCCGAACATAAATCGATTAAGTTAATGACTTTCAACAAATTTATGTGGACTAAACATAAAAAATTAAGTTGTCCATTAAATTGTCAAGAATTTTGTTGTTTTAGCTCATTTGATTTAAGTAGTTTGAACAAGTAAAAAAAAATTTTTTTTGAGTGTTGATGACTTTATTTCACATTTAGTTCACATTTTAAATGGGCTATTTATAAATAAATTTGTTTTTGTAATAAATAATTACATAAAGGTTTCATTTGTTTTTTTAAATATATTTTTTATTTTCATTTGATAAAACTTGTAGTTTTTGCTCTTCAATATGTCTAAAAATATTAAACCCGACTGAAAACTAGCTCTTATTTATATATTAATGTTTTTATTGCATCAGAATAAACTAAAGTTAAAATGTAAGGAGATGGAATTATACCAATCAACATTTTGAAATAAAACTCAAAATTAGTCATTTTGATGTCAGATTAAACAAAATTGTATTACTATATAAAATGTTTGGACTCAATTTTCAAGAATAAGGTTGTTTTGATAAAAAACTACAAAACAATATTAAGAATAAACTCATTAAATTTCGAGAATAAAGTTACTCGGAAAAAAGAAATATTTGAGACAAAATGTCATATAAAATATAAAAAGAAAATCAGCAATTTAAATTCAAATTATAAATTTTTTTTTTCAAAGATTTTTATACTTCTGTATAAACTATGACTATAGTTCAATTAAGTTAAACAAAATAAAAAATAAGGCATAAGTAAGCAACTTAATTATAAAGTAACTTTATTACATTTTATATTAGCTGGTGTCATTTTTAGAGTTTTTTTAAGAACCTAGGTTCATTCTGTAAATGTACCCCTATATAGATTTCTGGAGAGCACCAAATACATCCCAGGAGATATGTGTTTTTTGCAGATTTTGTTTTCGTGATTCCACCAGTTTGTGTATGCTTTTTCAGATCTCAAATTTCTCTCACGAGTGCCAGTCTTTTTGTGTAAATCCACAACAGGCGGCTGTCGACTGACTGACTGACCGATCAACTGACCCCCCCTCCCCCCCTCCCCTAAACCCAACCAACAGTGTTGTCAAAAGCAATCCTTGCCTGGTTTTTACCACATTTTCAGATTTTACCACATTCTTACCCTGTAATTTACACGTTTATCTTATTTTTTGGCTTTTAGTTTTGTCTTACCTGCTGAAACTGTTCTTTGCCAGCCTCAAACTCCGTCGCCGCAGTCAACTTAGCTCTATGTCATAAGTCTGCTGACGTACGCGGAGAGCTACTGGACAAACTAGTAACAGAGAAAAAGCCGTCCACACGGAGGTAAGCATAAAAAGGAATCATTCTGCCCTGTAGCATTCGTTTTAAAGACGAAATGCAGCCGTACGTAGCTCTGGCTACATAATTCATGATCTCCAGAAATGTATACGGAGGTACGTTTTCAGAACGAGCCTATGTTGTTTGTCAGAATACATCTAGATATAAATTTTAGTACATTTAGATTATTTTTACACGTTTTATGTAAGATGTACTTTCTGGGTTACATTTTTTTAATGGATGTTCATTTTGATCTTGAGTAATGAGAATGGTTTTAGTTTTCTGGTGACCTCTGCTGACCTCTGTGTATTAGTGTCCTCATGATGTCCAGGTATCCGGCCTGTGCTGCTAAAGCCAGCGGTGTGAGGCCGAAAGAGCTGCGAGGATCAGCGTGAGCTCCGTTCTTCATCAGCAGATCCAGAATCTCCGTCAGACCCAGTCGGGCAGCCTCATGGAGAGCTGTCCTGCGGTTCACACACTCCTGATTCACACGCGCTCCAAACCTCAGCAGCAGATCCACCATCTCAAGCTGATTGTTTCTGATGGCTGAATAATGCAGAGAGTGAGAGACTCAAACAAGCAGAAAGCCAGCCTTAAATATTAAATCCTTCAATGACAATCATTAACAATAAATAAATTAAAAATAAATCATAAAATGGTGGCACATTTGCTTTCTGTAGCTCTAAATTAGCAGGTCACATTGCATTTTAAAACTTCCAGGGATTTTTTTTTTAGATTTTAGAATATGTTTTAAGGATATCTATAAGCTAGTGTGCTCCAAAACAGTGACAAAATTCACATTTAGAAGATTTAAAGCTGATATAAATATTTAAAGCATGCAGTTTGTATTAAATTTCAGCTAGTTCAAAATGAAGCTGCTAGAGTGCTTTCAAGAACAAAGAAATATGATCATATTACTCCTTTCATCATTGCATTGGCTCCCTATTAAATATCGTATAAATTTTACAATTTTATTGACTACCAACAAAGCTCTGAACGGCTTAGCTCCCCAGTATTTGACAGAGCTCCTGGGCCCGGTTTTTCAAAAGGTTTAATCTGGATAAAATTGATCCGGATTTAGTAATCCTGTTTTTGCGATCCGTGATCACGTAATCCAGCTTACTTTTTGAGCCAGTTTTTCAAAGCAACATTGGATTGGATCAATCTGATCCGGATAGGAACTTTTCAGGATCACTAAATCTGGATTACTAGTGCTCAATCACAATGTAGATGGATAGATAGGCCTGTGTAAAGAGCAACAAGTAGAATAGCCAGTGTGGGGTAAATATAACTTTATTTTTATTTGAAATGAAAACTAAGAAAATAACCCCAGATTAATAAAGGGACTAAGGCGACAAGAAAATGAATGAGATGAAGTTTGTCACTTCCACATAAACGGATCAACATTTTTTTTGACGTCACCTCAAATCCTCTGACCAATCAAAAACTCTCTAGTATCTGATAACTGATTTCCTTTTAATATTAATAGAGTGTTTTCTGACCTACAATGAGAGGCGAGTCCTCCTCTTTATCCAGCGTGTCTGGACTGCAGCCGTGATCCAGCAGGAAGAAAGTATTGTCCAGAAGCCCGTTCTCTACTGCTAAGAAGAGCGCCGTTTTCCCACGACGAGTCTTTCTGTGCTTCGCGTCTTCAGGAGACGCTGTTGAACAGAGAAAACACAGTAATAATAATATTAATACTTATAAACTTTACTTTATATAGCAGGTGACACAAGAAGGTCGCTGGTTCGAGTCCCAGCTTGGTCAGTTGACATTTCTGTGTGGAGTTTGCATGTTCTACCCATGTTGGCATGGGTTTCTATAACCGCCAACTATTCCAGCATATGTTTTACACAGCAGATGCCTTTCCAGCCGCAACCCAGTAGTGGGAAACACTCATACACTATGGACAATTTAGTTTATTCAATTCACCTATAGCGCATGTGTTTGGACTGTGGGGGAAACTGCAGCACCCGGAGGAAACCCACACCTCCGAAAACTGGTCCAGCCGAGACTCAAACAAGTGACCTTCTTGCTGTGAGGCAACAGAGCTAACCACTGAGCCACCCCTACTGCCATTGTATAAATAATAAATAATCAAGAAAAACTTTATTCTGATTACAAGTATTTTAAAAAGTAGTTTACTTTGATTACAAGTTCTTGATTTTGGTAATCTTATTACGTAATCCAGATTACAGATACACACTGAATGCTGGGAATGCACAAACCGTTGAAGGTGATCTGCAGAATGTTCGGGTTGCTCTGAATGGCGGCGTCGTGTAAAGGGATGAAGCCTGTAGAGTCTTCCTCAGAGAAACAGCGTTGGTGGACCGTCAGTTTACGCAGAGAGAATTCATCACCTGATGAACCAGCAAGAGGAAAATATTACTCGCTGAACCAGATCAGTTATGCTGGTGAACCAACTAATAGACTAGTACAGTGTTTCTCAACCATGCTCCTGGAGGACCACCAGCTTTGCACATTTTCCGTGTCTCCTTAACCAAACACACCTGATTCAGATCATCAGCTCACTAGCAGACGGAAAGACCTGTAATGGATGTGACAGATAAAAAAGACATGGAAAACATGCAGTGTTGGTGGTCCTCCAAGAATGTGGTTGAGAAACACTGGACTAGTATAATCCCTGCAAAACAACTGGCTAAAACAAAAAAAGGTTTTTAGCAGATACTGTTTAAATGTGATGATCATAATCATTTGATTCTACTATATATTTAGTATATACTTATGAAACCTGAGTGTCTAGCTTTATTTCACACATGCATGAAGAAACTTACATTTTACATGACAATAATGAGTAAAAAAAACTCAATTAAAAAAAGATAAAATATTGATGGGAGTGATTTTATCTGCTTTAAAATTAATTCCAGCTATTGCAAAGTTTATATATATATATATATATATTCACCGGCCACTTTATTAGGTACACCTTACTAGTACCGGGTTGGACCCCTTTTACCTTCAGAGCTGAAGAAAACATTGTAGTGCGATCTATCATTCATACCGTATTTTATTGCATTGAAAATCTTCTCTCTCTCAGGCGAAATCTGAACAATCCTGTTGACAGAAATACAGCATCTTTCATTCAAGTGCATGTGATTTTGTTTGAAAAAACTAAATTCAGCACCGTTAATACAAGTGAAATGTGTGTTTGACCTGCGGAAATACAAAATACAGCCTCTTTAATTCAAGTGAAATGTGTATATAAAGTGTGTTGTTTGACCTGCAGGCGTCTCCGCTGTAGCTCTTCAACTGTGTTGGTTTGTGGCTCTGCTGGAGACTCTGTTCAATCATCATCTGCATGGCCACATCCTCGTCTGAAATCCCTCCGGATGTGTCCACGTCCACATCCATCGCACTGACACAGATAATATGAGACGGATCTCCTGAGAGAAATCACATTACACAGCTAACAGCAAATCTCCCAGCAACGTTAATAGAACGTTTGTTTAACATCATGAGGGAATTAATAATGATGTTTTCAAAACGATAGCACAAAAACTCAACACAGCATCCCAATTTATAGCAGAGCAAGGATTTTAATGACTTTTTTTCTACAGGAATTTAAAAAAAAGTCTTTTAAGTGTTACAAGAGCTTAATAAAACTGTTAAGTTAAGAATCACAGCATTAAAAAGTTTAATTTAAAGGAAAGAATATGGAAAAAAGACAACATGATGAAGATAAAATAGTAAACAACAGCTTTTAAAGAGAACACTAGGCATAAAGACGATAGATAGATAGACAGACAGACAGACAGACAGACAGACAGACAGACAGACAGACAGACAGACAGATAGATAGATAGATAGATAGATAGATAGATAGATAGATAGATAGATAGATAGATAGATAGATAGATAGATAGATAGATAGATAGATAGATAGATAGATAGATAGATAGATAGACAGACGTCTCTACTGAAATATGTAGTCAACCAATGAAAGATAACACAAGCAAATACTTTCTATATATCTATCTGTCTGTCTATCTATCTGTCTGTCTATCTATCTATCTATATATCTATCTATCTATCTATCTATCTATCTATCTATCTATCTATCTATCTATCTATCTATCTATCTAGTTCAGTCAATTTTTCCTCAGAGAACGTAAATAGGATGTTTGTTCAGTGTTAATCTACGAGGCTGAATCCAGCTTCTTATTCGCAGCTTCTTATTGACGCTATGCGGTCCACCTTAAAAACCGCGACGCTTCCGTTTTTCAGCTTCTTATTCGCGCTCATCTTAGGGACCGTGTTTATTTATGTTCCTTTTTGAAAAATGAAAAATGCTAAATGAAACTGATATAAGATAGAAAACGGGCTGCAAGCATGAAATCTAATTGCATCATTGATTAATTATTGACAGTGCCATCGTTTGAGTACAATATATTTTTGTTTTTTTTCCAGAAATAGTCCTTTATGAAGACTTCACATGACCCACCTATGAATAGACAGTGCCTGCCTCAGCAAGGATTTCAGATACAAAATAATTGTTTTATTAATTAAAGTTGTAAAAGTTAATGCATATGTTTTATCTGCAAATACTACAATTTGTATTAGATTTCAGTAGCTTTTTCTGACACCCACGCCTGTAAATACAATTCAAGTTTTGTTAAACCTATTGTTTCAAAGAACAGACAATGCACTTTTTATACACCTTTTTATACACCTTATACAAATAAATGTGAATTGAACTGAATGAGCTATTGCATAATTGAATACTGTACCATGTTCTCTCTAATATTACACAACAGGTTAATAGTATACGTCTATACACGCGTCTGCATATGTATAAATATTTATAATTCTATCCCATTGAGAAGACAGACCTAAAAACGGTCAAAATACAGTCATTTTAATAAATGCCCAGTTGGAGGTGCTATATGCCAAGTTTTTTGCATATTCATTTAATGTTTTATTTTTAACTTTTATGTATTTGTGTGCCTACTACATACTATGTATGTGTGTACTATAAACTATGTGTGTGTGTGTGTGTGTGTGTGTATGTTCACATTAAAAATGTTTAACACTAAAGATAATAAAAGTATGTTTGTGTTATAAATTTACACAAAATAAAGATGCCAATACATAATCATTTAATAATAATGATTTATTATTATTATTATTAATAATATTAATAATTATTATTATTATTAATTTTTATTATTAGTAGTAATAGTAGTAGTGAAATAAAAATATTTTACAATGCACTTATACATATTGTACTGAAATAAATGCCAATTAATCTATATACCTTATAAAAATTTATTAATATGTACCTATTTATAAATATGTGTGTAAAATATGTCTCTCTCTCTCTCTCTCTCTCTCTCTCTATATATATATATATATATATATATATATATATATATATATATATATATATATATATATTCATACACAGTACACAATACATTTTTCTGTGTCTGTGTTTATTTAAGTGTATGTATATGTATTCATTCATTTTCTTTTCGGCTTGTTCCCTTTATTAAACTTTGGTCGCCCCAGCGGAATGACCGCCAACTTCTCCAGGACATGGTTTATGCAGCGGATGCCCTTCCAGCTGCAACCCATCTCTGGGAAACATCCCCAGTCGTACACTATGGACAATTTAGCCTTCCCAATTTAACTGTACTGCATGTCTTTGGACTGTGGGGGAAACCGAGCACCCAGAGGAAACCCACGTGAAAGCGGGGAGAACATCCAAAAACAGAAAGGCCAACTGACCAAGTCAAGGCTCGAACCAGCAACCTTCTTGCTGTGAGGCGACAGTGCTACCCACTGCGCCACCATGTCGGCCCTGTGTGTGTATATACATATATATATATACAAATTAACTATATACCTATACAAATTTACATGAATTTAACAGTACTAATACTACTAATATTAATATAAATGATAAAAAAAAAATATTAACAATATTATTATTAATTCTATTATTATTATTATTAAGCTTATTGTTGGTATTTTATTAAAAAAAATTACAAGAAGCTTATACATATTGTACTTGTCTATCACAACACCAGAAATAAGATTATACACAAATTAAACACTAGCATTTTCAGGCTGGGTACCACTAGTTAATTTTGACACAGCAGAACAGTTTTGTTCCAATGCACTCTTGGCACAATTGGTGGCGCTGTATCTCAGCTGTCTTTGAGGGTGCGTTGAAAATCTTACTTGGGTCTTGTAGACAATCTTCCCATCTATCAGCAAACCCAGATTCATATCAATTTACTCTACTAATTTTAGGTTCTTGACCTCTGAACTTGCCATAAATCGCAATACAGCAAGGCAAAAACAGGTATGTACCATTGCACTCTGCACAATTGGTGATGCTTTATCTCAGCAGTTTCTGAGGGTGCGTAGAATATCTCACTGAGGTCTTGTAGACAATGTTCCCCTCTATCAGCAAACCCAGATTCATACCACATTACTGTACCATTTTCTGGTTATTGACCCTTTAAACTTGCCATTAATCACAATACAGCTATGTACCATTGCACTCTTGGCACAATTGGTGGCACTGTATCTCATCGGTTTTTGAGGGTGCGTTGAATATCTCACTGAGGTCTTGTAGACAATGTTCCAATCTATCAGCAAACCCAAATTCATAGCATATTACTTTAACAATTTTAGGCTATTGACCTCTGAACTTGCCAAAAATCGTAATACAGCTAAGTACCATTGCACTCTTTGCACAATTGGTGGCGCTATATCTCAGCAGTCTTTGAGGGTGCGTTGAATATCTCACTGGGGTCTTGTAGACAATGTTCCAATCTATCAGCAAACCTAGATTCATATCACATTACTGTACCAATTTTAGGTTCTTGACCTCTAAACTTGCCAAAAATCGCAATACAGCAAGGCAAAAACAGCTATGTACCATTGCACTCTTTGCACAATTGGTGGCGCTATATCTCAGCAGTCTTTGAGGGTGCGTTGAATATCTCACTGGGATCTTGTAGACAATGTTCCAATCTATTAGCAAACCCAGATTCATATCACATTACTGTACCAATTTTAGGTTATTGACTTCTGAACTTGCAAAAAATCGCAATACAGCAAAGTACCATTGCACTCTTGACACATTTGGTGGCGCTATATCTCAGCAGTCTTTGAGGGTGCGTTGAATATCTCACTGGGATCTTGTAGACAATGTTCCAATCTATCAGCAAACCCAGATTCATACCACATTACTGTACCAATTTTAGGTTATTGACCTCTGAACTTGCAAAAAAATCGCTTACAGCCAAGTACCATTGCACTCTTGACACAATTGGTGGCGCTATACCTCAGCAGTCTTTGAGGGTGCGTTAAATATCTCATTGAGGTCTTGTAGACAATGTTCC